GTAAAGATGGAAATAGAAAAACAACCTGGGTCTCTTGAGAGGATCTCACTATGCCCAAGTACATGGGTGGTCTGGGATTTCGGGACACTGAGCTCTTTAACCTCGCGATGTTGGCAAAACAAGGATGGAGAATACTCCAGGAACCTAGTTCGTTGAGTGCTAGAATTTTGAAGGCAAAGTATTTCCCATCTTCAGACTTTTTGCAAGCAGAAATTGGATCACAACCGTCACAAGTATGGAGAGCTGTTTATGCGGGCTTGGAAGTTTTGAAACAACGGCTCATACGACGGATCGGTGATGGTGGATCAACGCACGTGTGGAACCAAAACTGGATTCCAAGGAACAATATGATGCGGGCTTTGCACCCAATATCTGATGTTCCTCCGGTTTTGGTTGCAGAACTAATTGATGTACCCTCCAGAAAGTGGGATCGGGCTGCTGTTTACCAGCACATGAATGTCATTGATGTTGAAGCTGTGTTAAATATTCCGCTGAGCACTTCTGCTTCAGAGGATTGGTGGGCGTGGCACTATGAGCGTTCAGGTATTTTCTCGGTACGGTCTGCATACCGCCTGCTGGTTCATACGAAGAGGCGAATGGAGGATTGGCTATACCACCATGGAAGTATGTCAGATATGGCATCAAAACAGAAACAATGGCAGAAACTATGGAAAGCAAATGTCCCAGGGAAGATAAAAAAATTTGCTTGGAGATTAGCTCGGAACTCTATCCCGACTGGTGCAGTATTAAAACAGAGGCATATAGCTGATTCGGAGACCTGTTTTCTTTGCAATACCGAAGTGGACAGCTGGCGCCATGCACTAATTGATTGCCGCATGTCAAAATGTGTCTGGGTACTAGTTGATGAGGACATAGTTGAGCATATGATTGCATGCCAATTCGATGATGCAAGGTTGTGGCTTACGGAGATGCAAGAATCAACGAGTGAACAAGTTTTTGTGAAGATTCTTGTGACACTCTGGGCAATTTGGTGGGCAAGGAGACAGGCAAAGCATGAAGAAATATATCAGAGTCCCCTATCTACTTTTTCTTTCATTCAAAGATTTTTGGATGATCTTCAGTTAATGCCAGCAAAGGAGAAGAAAAAGCACGCTGGAGTTCAGAGAGGAGTCATGAAACGATGGTTGAAAAGTGGTCCTGGTGTAGCAAAGATTAATGTCGATGCTTCAATCTCCAGGAATAATTTAAGAGGTGCAAGTGCAGCCATCTGTCGTGATGACAAAGGTGTTTACCTGGGAGCTTCAGTGACTGTCTTTGATGGACTAGTCGATCCTGAATGTTTAGAAGCCCATGCTTGCTGTGAGGCATTCGCCCTAGCAACAGACCTGCAGTTGAGAAGGGTGAAAGTTGCAACTGACTGCTTAGCCACTGTCAATCATTTATATGGTAACTTCATGGGCTCCTCAGCGACTATTATCAGGGATATAAAACTGAGAATGAGGCAAGTCGATGAATCTGAAGTGGTGCATGAAGCTAGAGAATGCAATTTTGAAGCTCATGCTTTGACTAAGGCTTCGGCCTCTCTTGCCGCGGGACGACACCTTTGGTTATCCACTTTTCATACTGTTTTATTTGTACCAAACATCATTGAGGTTTAAATAAAGTGTGGTGACCCTCAAAAAAAAATCTCCGGCGCCGCGGATCGGCGGATTCTTCTCCGTTCGTCCTTTCGTCGCCGACGCATCCGATGGGGAAACGTGGTGCGGCGCAAGGGATAGACATAGACTGGCTTGAGTTCTTCAGGACCGGAAACCCAGAGCCACTGGAGACAATGCTCTCGCCACCGGCGGCACCCGCCGCTCTGCCCCATAGGTCTGCAGAACCCTAACCCTGTGTTTCTCCTCTTCCTGATGCAAGTTCATTGAGGTTTAAATAAAGTGTGGTTGATGGCGGCCATGAATGATCGATGCTGCCCTGCCTGCCCCGAAATTATGTAGTGGAATTGTGCGATTGGACCTGGTGTTCATCTGACCCGAAATAATTTTGCTAGTATTTTTCCGAAAGAATTTTGCTAGTATGTGCTTGGTGTTCTCGATGTCAAAAACACTTGGGAATTGGATAGCTAGCTACCAAAAAATATGTGCAGAAGGAGGGCTCGACCAAAAACAATAATTACGCGATGAAAATATTTGTTGCAAGTATGATACTCTCATTCGATTACTTGGTATGCTATTTCTTTTGACGATACTGATGCTCAAGTCAATAAACTATGAATCTCCCCCTGTTGGGTGAACTGGAAATATGAGTATATTATGCTGTTGTACTCATGAAGTTGTTGGTTTGATTTTCTGTAGAGCTTATTGTAATTGAAAGTGCATGTTGATAACTTGGTATACATCTTGTTATGGAAAAAATTGATGCTCAGTGAGATGAGCATCTTGGTTTGCCTTACTCTGTAGTACTGTAGTAGTTATGTCTCTGATATTTGATTTCTTGATTCTGATCTTTCTTTTTGAATTTTCTGTATGACAGAGAGGTTGCCGTTGTAGAGAAGCCGTCTAAGAAAATTTGCCATGGCTTGGGCTCAAACGACTTAGACTCATCTGGAAGACAAGTTTGGGCAGACCTTACACAGCCTGCTTCACCTAATCATTGTCCTCTTCAGCTCATTCCATGATTTCCTTGCTGTTACTAGCACCTGCCGCTCTTGGCGTGCTACAATTTCTTCCTTCCCACCCATATATCACTTCTCCTTCCCACCTCTCTTTGTCAAAACAGGCCTTCATTATGCTCGTCGGCATATGGGCGACCGCAATTCCTGCCACAACCCTTTATCTAACTACAAATGGCAGCTTCGTGATCCTGCGAAGACAAATTTATCCCTTCGTTGTTCAGCACCCCGACATACTCCATATTATGTGCGCTATTTGGGCTGCTCATATGGGTATTTGATCTTGTACTGTGAGGAACAATGCTTCCTTGTTGATGTGTACACTAGTACTATGGTGAAGCCCCGTAAATTTCGACGCAGTGACAACTCTAAAATCTACTATGGCGTCTTTACGGCTCCTCTTAGTTCGCCCAACTCGTGCCTCCTCCTTTTCTCGAGAAAGTATATGTTCCGGTGGCAAGTTGGAACAAAGTCCTGGATGGAGCACCCTCTCGTTGCTGGACGCATTCATCAAATTGTGTCCTTCAAAGGTCAGATGTTGGCCATGGACTCTCTTATGAAGCTCAATACTATTTCCTTGGCACCTCAGCTTGGCATGCCGGAAGAACCACTTGTGTGGGGAGAGGACATGACCGCTGGCTTGCTTAAAAAACCATGGTTGGTGGTCCGTGGTGACATGCTTCTCAAGGTTGACCTCTCAATACATGATCTCAAATTCTGCTTTCAAGCCTACCGCCTGGACTTATCAGTCAGACCCGCTAAGTGGGCGAAGATGAAGAAGTTGGGAAATTGGGCTCTCTTTCTTAGCCTTGATAGGAGGAGCTCTACATTTTCTTGCTTGAACCCTGAAAGATGGGGCGGGAAGAGTAATTTCATTTACGTTCTGCGCAGATCCAAAGATTCCAACGAACCTTGGATTGAGGTAGAGCTTGGTCAGTTCATGTCCAGGAGATCCCATCCCATTTCATACATTCTCGGACGCAAAGGCAAGCAGCTGGAGAGCTTCTGGGTGCTCCCCAGTTTGGTGTATGGTGTCAACAAGTGAACCATCATCTTTGCTCGTCGTGGAGTTTTTGCCTAGTCTTGAGCATGCCTTATCAACTGGTGTGTTTATTATTTAGTATCCCTTACAAAAATAGATGTAATCTCTATATTGTACTGCATTCAGCTAATAGTTTGGTTGGGTATTAATCCTGTATGCTGAACAAGAAATACTTACTGGACTTGCCTTCCAACCTGGAACATGTTTTGATGCTGTCTGATCACATATTTATGTTTCTTGGTCGGCATCTTCTCTTACTTACTTCTCTGCTTTCTTACTGTGATCTTTCGTTTTTCAAAAAATAAAAGAACTCTCTCGCTTTAATGGGATACATAGTTGTATAAATGATGGTTTCTTTCAGATAGATGCTCCTGAGATTTCATTCTTCCTATCTTATATACTCGGATCTGGGGTACACTCTTAAAAATATATACTATAACATGTTCTACATTCATGTAGCGACAAGGCGACAAGGCGACAAGGTAATCTGAATTGCAACACTGATTTCTTTTAGCTGCATGCCAGAGTTTCACACAGGACACAACTTGCCTATGAATATTAGCCTAGTACTATTTTAGGCCTCTTTTGGTTCATAGGATAGGATTATCATAGGAATAGCAATCTTGTAGAAAATGAGATGACATGTATCTCAAATCCTATGAGTAGGAATAGGAAACAAGATGTCATTTGGTTGACACCAAAGGAATTTTTACATTGAGTCTAGGCTCTTTTTTATTTTCCTATGAAATGTGGAGGATGGGAACCAATCCTATGTAGGAATAGGAATCCATTTCTATGAACCAAAGGGCTCTAAAGAAAAAAAATCCTATAAGAATCCTATCCTCTAGAATTCCTATGAAATTCCTCTAAACCAAAGGAGGCCTTATTGTTTGTAATCCAGTCAGCACGAATGAAGATGTTTTCTAACTTTTGTAAAGACAGAACTCCGAATAGAAGCTCGCGGAACATGAAGCTTTACTATCTAGTCTGACGTGGTGCTGTTGTACAGAAAATCAAGGTGTTGGTTTTGAACTTTTGATGCAGATGTAGCAATTCTTTTCTCTGACAGCCTTGAAGCATGCCATTTTCATCGACAAGAAATTGCTCAGATGCTCGAATGACAGATATTTCAAACCACCGCCGACAGGAAATGCACATGCTCCTATATATATGAACTTTTTTGGGATATCAATTTGTGATGTATAGTAGTATCCTGGTTGCATGAGGGAAGGATAAATACTCTGGTGACATATAAGTCAAATCTGAAACACAACAATATGCTTAGTTAAGGGCTTCCACGGGCCGCACGTGGAGCCCTCCTTGGGTCCTGTGCTCGACAACATAGGGCATGTGCGTGCCAAACACCTTGTCCCACGTCACAAAGAAGGGCTGCGAGAAGTTGTATCTGCTGGCTCGCGGCTGATGGTGGATGTCGTGGTATGCCGTGTTGTTCCAGAAGCAGAGGCGGAACACGTTCCCTGGCAGCCACAGGCCGCAGTGGTCGTCGACGCCCTTGACGGTGCAGAGCGTGAAGAAGAAGATGGAGACGCGGGGCGCCATGCCGGAGGCGAGGAAGGCGAGCGCGCCGCCGACGGTGTCGAGGAGGAGGCCCTCCATGGGGTGGTTGTACTGCGCGCCGAAGGCGTAGGGCACGACAAGGCGGTGGTGCCACGAGTGGACGTGCCGGTACAGGAACTTGTTGAGGTGCATGTACCGGTGCCACGCATACTGCCACCCGTCCAGCACGGCCATGCCCACCGCGATCTGCATCGCCACCGTCACCCACGTTGCCCAGGTCGTCCGCTGCCGTGCTTCGCCGGCGGCCGTCCCGGTGCTTTCGCCTCGAAGCTGCGGTAGGTACGTTTATATCATATGTATATGAAGGTTTGCATGTCCATGCATGCAGAGTTCTACTAACATACTGTGAAAATGGCGGCGGCGACGGCGGCCTGCACGAGCTGCTGGAGGAGGACGCCCTTGACGACGTCGCGCTTGGGCACGAGGTTCTTGCTGCGCTCCTCCTCCCTTGGGTGTAGCCTGTACTGGTCCATGGACCGTCCAAGCGCCATGTACATGCCGGAGTAGACCCAGTAGGCAGCTATGGGGACGACAATGGCCAGCGCTTCATCAGAGAATATGAGCTCCATGTCACTGTTGGTTCTAGTAGTAGCTTTGCTTTTGCTAGCGGTGTCTGGTAGTAGTAGACTGGCTCTATGGGTTTATATCGACCGATGAAAATGCTAGCTGGTTACAGATTGCCTCGGTCATGGGACTCCGTTGTCAAGCTGTAATCATCGGACTCTTGAATTTTCTTTAAAATCTAGCAGTAGATCTTGGCCATATAGAAATTCTGTTGCTTTACCCAGACGTCCACATACGGAATTTAGTCAAAAGTCGTTCAAGCAAGGCGTTCCATGGACATAGGAATTTATTTAGTCAAAAGTGGTTCAAGCTGGACGTGTTCCACATACGGAATTTAGTCAACATATCGGTCGTTCCATGTGTGGATTTTAGTCGTTTAGTAATATATAAGCTTGTGCGTGTCGATTCAAGGGAGAATCCCCAAAACTCAAAACCTCATCTAACCTAGTATAAATCTCGCTAGACTATCCGCCATCCGGAGGCATATTTGTGTGCGCTGCGCTCGTTCGGCCGCTCGATTCTTTTCCTGTGGCTCCGTTTTGGCTGCTGGCGCACTGTTTTTTACATTCACATTTCTTTCGGGAGCAGCTGCCAAGTGGGCCACATTATCTAAGGTCCGGTGAATCAACTAGTTTTTACGGTTACTAAGATGCACGTCGTTCGGGCAATGAAGCGAGGCCTAGAAACTATTTGGTCGCACTTCCTCTCTCTCCTCCCTCCCACCTCGTCTCCTCTTCTTCGTGCGGTGGACAGCGCAGCTCCTTGTACCGCCATCCGTCCACCCTGCCGCTCGTGGAAATAAAGCAAGACCAAGAACAAGGGAAAGAGAGCACTCCGATGCGCATGCTGTTGGACTGAAAAGAACTCTTCAGTTTGTCATTACATGGCTTTCTTTTTGTGCGTGCTTGATGCTCCTCTGCCTTAAACTTGTGTACGACGATATCTTAGGTTCCTCGGCATGTTCACTGAGCACTTCTGTTTCAGTGTAATATGGCAATCGAAGTACCGAACCCTGGAGTATGAACACCTGCTCGTTTTTACCGGGAGCAGCGCATTTTAACCCTAATGTATGAACGATTTAATCCCCGACTGGATTATGAGCGATTTAATCCCCGAGACGCCTAAAGTGGCAAAGTCCTCATCCTGCAACTTTCCCCTCCTCGTTCTCTTCCTCCGGTAGCTCTCTGTTCACAAGTTCAAAACCAAATACAGCAAATAGGAAGGCCATGGCCTCACTTACCATGCTTGTATGCTGGGTTATCTGGAATGAGAGAAACGCTGGAGTCTTTCGAAAGAAATCGACGCCGCCATACTACATTCTAAAACTCATCCAGGAGAGGCCAAGACGTGGCTCATGCGGGGGCAAGGCATATGAGCATCATCATGCCGCGAGAGTAGTCTTTTGCCTCTGTTAAAAAAAAACAAGTTCCTCCTGCACTCTTGCTTCTTCACCACGAATCCGGTTCTTGAGCACGAGAACCATGTCTCCTGCATTGCTCCTGTTCTCCTTGGCTTGTCTTCTTGGTTCATCAGGTCAGCAACATTCTTCTCTCTAGCTGTCTTTTTAGGCCTGCTGTAAACCTAGCAACTAGTGGCGGAGCTTGATGAAAATTCCTGAGGGGGCTTATCAGAGTTGAGGGGGCGAAGAAAATAAATTATGCATGAACTCTGAGAAATAACTGATTTTTTTTGGAACGAAGACGCTAGAAGCGTACGACTTTAAATTAATAAAGTCACAAGGCAGCATTCAAACAGGTTCTGAACCTTACAAACAACTAAGTTCAAATGGTACAAGACAACACGGATGAAGTACAGGATAATTCCAAAATACATGAAGTGAGGAGCACAATAAATATCTCCACTAAATCAACATGTCCTTCCTCCCGGTGCAAGTTGGAGACTCCAAAAACTCAGACCAGCTACGCAGAGTGGGGAGCAAGCGTGTGAGTGTTGCTGATCTTCTCCATGGTCTCCCTCATGCGCTCAGCATCGCGTTGCTTCCCCAATGGTGTCGACATTTGTAGCTAGAGATGGCATTTGAAAATAATATCAGCTGGGTGAGAAGGGAATTTCTTCTCAATCGTAATTTTGTTCCGGGTCGTCCATAAAGACCACAAAAGCGCCCCTGCGCAACGGTGTCCACACGTCCATAAATAATTGATATTCAAACCTAATAATTAGGGATAGTTTTTCTAGAGTAGGGGGAGGGGGGCAATGGCCCCCATGAAGCTTCGCGGCTGCTACCAACCAAATGTCCTCTCTTCTTTTCCCAACCTCTGTAAGACCGGAGCTTTCTTTTTTCTGTGTAAGACCAGAGATTGGTAATTCTACAAATCCCTTTGCCGCTGTGTGAGCAAAGATTGGAGTCCTCAGCTTACTAGCATGGGACCTTCCTAATGTTGTGGCCTCCTTTGAAGTTTCAGTTGGTCGATCAGGGACCACAACCAAGACCCTAGAGTTGCCTATGAATTTCACTCTGAAGGCCCCTGGTCCAGGGTATACCTGTGGACCTGCAACCAAGTTCGATGAACCTACAAAGTTCACTACACCAGATGGAAGGCGGAAAACTCAAGCCCACAGTAAGCCATTGTCTAATTTCTTGATGCATGGAGAAAATATCCCAGTAACTAGCATGCATAACTGAATGTTTGTTTTATTTTGCAGTGACATGGACTGTGACTTGTACCTACTCACAGTTTTGCGCTCTGAGGTCTCCTACTTGCTGTTTATCCCTCTCTGCGTTTTACAGCGACACGCTTGGTACCTGCCCCAAATGCTCATGTGGCTACCAAGATAACAGTACAAAACCAGGAATCTGTGTAGAGTAAGTTACATTTGACATAGCCCAAATAATAAACTAG